AGAGAGGCAGACAGAACTCCCCAAGTACATCCACAGCATCACCATCTTCAACACCATGCAGAAGCAGAACCAGAATGAGATCAATGGCGTCAAGGCAAAGGTAGCCATGCTGGAGGAATTGGGGACAGGAAGGACCTGAAGGCCATGGTGCAGGAGATGCAGAGATTGGCCAAGCCCCAGAATGAGGACCTGGCAGTCCTGTGAAGCTCCCTGCATGCTGTGAAGACCAAGGTGTGAGAGCTGGTAAGGCTGAAGTGCATGCAGCAGACCTGCAAGGAGGCTGAGCACCTCTCCCTGCAGACCATCATGAAGAACCTGCATCACTCAAAGGAGGCTGTCTTGCACCTCTCTGATGAGGCCAGGAGGTTTATACCATGTGATTCTCCTGCCTTGGCCTTCTGCCTTTTTTGTTGAGACAGGGTCTTAGTAATGTAGTACAAGGTGGCCTTGAACTCACAGTGATGCTCCTGCCTCAGCCTCCCAAGAGCTACGGTTAAAGACATGTGCCACCACACTCACATGCCTCAGCCCTTTGAACAGCTGGGATTGTAGGCATGTGGCACCACCCATAGCTTACTTGGAGATTTTGTTCCACTCATCCAGAGCAGACAGGGTTCAAACAAGCAGAGAGCCAAGAGTTACAGAGGTTTTTTTTTTGTTTTTGTTTTTTTTGGCGAACCGGGAATTGAACTCAGGCCCTTGCACTTGCCAGGGAAGCACTTATTCTCCTGAGCCATCTCCCCAACCCTCTAGACAGGTCTTGAAGGGCAGATGTAAAATCCAGAAAGCAGGCTGGGCTTCCCAAACAAAGCCAAGCCTGGCCACCGTCTCTTTGTTGTTAATTTCTTTTGACGTGGAAAAACTCAGTAAGAGCAGGTCCCAGTTGTTAATTCTTGCAAGTGTTTCCCGTGTGATTTGATTTTTGTTCATAAACTCTTGGCCTACCCCTATGTCTTCAAGAGTTCCTCCTATTTTCAAAAATATGGAACACTTCATGAGTTTGCATGTCATACTTGCAGGGCTGCCACTGTCTACTTGCGACCCTTTTGAGGGTGGTGGTGCCCCGCCACTCAAGACTTCTACTGATATAATCAGGCCCAACCAGCTAATGTAGGATATTCTCCCTTACTAAAGTCAGGTCCAGATGCCTGCATAGATACCTTCATAGCAGCACTGAGATTTGACTTCGCTTTTGCCTGCTTGAACTTGAAGGGCCTTCTGCACTTCAGGCAGATGCTGCACTGCTGAGCCACACCCCAGCCCTTGACTTGTGCTTGCATTATTGGAGACTATACCTAAGTTGACACCTTAAAAAGATCATCAAGGGGCCGGGGAGATAGCTCAGTTGAATAAGCGCTTGCCTGGCAAGTGCAAGGGCCTGAGTTCAATCTCTGGTTCCGGAAAAAAAAAAAAAAAAGATCATCACATGAATGTTACCTGAGAGAAGAGAAACATATCTACTCTAGCAAAGTAGTATGAGGGGACCGATAGTTCAAACTATTAAGGAAGTTGAGGCAGGAGGATCATTGAGCCAAGTAGTATAGGGCAGGTCCACAAATATAGTGAGACCTTTTTTCTTTTAAAAAAGAAAAAAATAGGGGCCAGCCAAATAGCTTAGTGGATTAAAGTGCCTGCAAGTAGGCGAAGGGGCCAGGGATTCAATCCCCAGGCCTGCTGTGCCGGCCCTGCCCCGGGGCATGCTGAGACTGGCGATTGAGGCTGGGCGTGGTGGCACACACCTGTAATCCCAGCTCTTGAGAAACTGTAAACAGGCACTTCACTAAGAGTCCAACCTAGTAGTAAGACCCTGAACACCCTGTAGACCCTTCCCTAAAATACAAAATTAATTAATTAAAAGATAAAATAATAGGGATGGGAAGAAGAAAGAAAATGCATGTCTGCATTTAGACTTGTGCAAGAACAGTATCAAAAAACAAACCAAAAGAAAAAATTTAGGTACATATCAATAGATAAGTTCATGTCATGGAATACTAGTCATTGAAAAGGGATTGTTTACCAATACACTCAACCACACGGGCAAATGCAAATTGATCTGTAATAACACATCAGTGGTTGTCTGTGACCAGATTTGGAGGAGAGACAAAGGGACATAAAGACTTTGGGGACAGTAAGAAAGATCTGAATCTTGATGCTGGCCATGTTTCTGTGAGTGTGCATGTTAAACAGGTGCAGTGTATTGTACGTACAGATATATGAGTCCTTTAATAAGGTTCTTATTAAAGGAGAATTACATGAAATTAGCAGATTAGAACCAGTAGAAGAGCAGATTAGTACACTGGAAAGCAGGCAGCAGGAAATCCACAGATGAAAGCACAAAAAGAAAGTCAGGCATGGTGGTGTACACCTGTAGTACCAGTACTCAGGAGGATCACTGGGAGTTCAAGGCCAACCTGGGCTATATAGTGAGAGCTTGTCTCAAAAAATAAAATAAAGAAGGAGAGAGGAAAAACCCCAAAAAGGGCAGTGGAGGAGTGGAGGTCGCAGTGAAAGATGAGGCTGTGGAAGGAAGACCAAAGTGAGGAAGTGGGACAAGATGGCAGGATGTTCCTACATGCTCAGCACTGTAAGGCCTAGATTCAAGTCCTACATCTCAAACTGGGGAGACTGTGGGGCTGCTGCTCATTGTATAAATGACTCTCGGGGCCAGGGAGATAGGTCAGTAGAATAAGCACTTGCCTGGAAAATGCAAGGTCCTGAGTTCAATCTCTGGTACCACCAAAAAAAAAAATGTGAATGTCGCCCTCCCTAAAACAGCACATCCAGGCAGAATGCACATACCCAAGGCAAGCGTCAT